AGTTTGTCAGATATACTTTAATGATTACTGACTGACTGTCCATATGGCAATATGTAATTAAAGATAGATGATAAATTAATAAATAAATACAAATGATACAATGACTATTAATGATTATGTGGATATGGGAAATGGGCTGCATGGGCTCAAATATATTTGATGTTCATTTTGTTTCTGAGTTCATAGTTCCTGTGTTTCTAGTGTTCTTATTGGTTTCCTAGGTTTTTTATTGTTCTTAGTTAGTTTGTTTCCATGGTTACTCATTATGTTCATCTGTGTTTAGCTCATTGTTTTGTTCTGTGTACATATACTGCCTAGTTTCCACTGTCTGGGTTGGTTATTATTGTCTTAGTTCACTTGTCTTACTGCCTTTTGGATTATTTTCTTCTTGCAGTGTTAAAGCAGCACTATGTAACTTTTTCTGTTTTCAAAATTTGCAAAATGTATATAATGAGAGAGTACATGAATTTATCTTCCAAACCGCGTTTTTGGCTTATTCTGAATCACTCCGGTACACTTATAATAAGTACTTATATTTGGACTATTGTAGCCTGGTCGGGTCGTCACCGCTGCGGAGTAACACATACCTGCGTGAATCGCCATAGACATAAACTTAGAGAAGTAGCTCCGGTTGGAATGTTCTTCCGCGGGATGAGTGCAGTTCTGTTTATTAACCGCTAGAGCGCCAAAAGTTATATAGTGCTGCTTTAATAAACCTTGTCGCATGTAGCTCCTGCTTCTACCACTCCTTGCCTGCCTGCAGATAATCAATCATTCAGTTCTAAGTAATAATTAAATTATTGCATGATTTAAATCCACATTTATTAAATACATGACTGACAGAGATCAACTCAGTGTATAACAATATCATCTCTGATGTACCTGCACACGGCTGACAGAGTTGGCTGATGTCCAGATGTGTGGTCTGGTTGCTGATGTTGTTGTTCAGCACACAGCTGTAGGTGTTTTTATCCTGATGTTCCACCTCCAGAGGTAAAGAGAGACTGATGCTGAGATCAGACGCACTGATGTTGGAGATTACACTGTTTCCTTTGTACCAGGAGAGAGTCACATGATTCACATTCAGCACTGAACACAGCAGTGAACATTTAGACACTGATGAACTTCCAGAAGATGAAGAACATTGTGAAGTGTCTCTGATGATGACAGGAACGGGAAGAAGATCTAAAATACGATAGAGAAAAGATTGTTTCTTCATATTAGACTGCAGGAAGATACGAAAACAGAAAATCTAATGTATTCATACAGTGTCTTACTTCTAAATGTTCAAAATATTAAAAGGAAAAATTCATCAAAATCTAATGTTTCTGAATCTGTCATATTCAGTAAATGAACTCAGCTGATTTTACTTTTTCCTGTTGTGTGATGAGTGGTGTTTGTTTGGTGTTCCCTTATGTAGAGTTGATTGATTGATTGATTTGTTTGTTTATTCATTCATACTATAGTTGTAATGTATCACGGTCATTGAAATTGAAATACTCACCATAGACCGAAACACTGAATCTCTTGTATGAAACCCTATTGTTGCTGCTGATCTTAAGATTATAAAGTCCAGAGTCTGTGGTTCTGATGTTTGTGAAGGTGAGAGATCCAGTCTGACTATCCACCTGCACTCTGCCAACAACCCTATCAGCTATTATGGTTTTACTGGCCTTTCCATTGATTTGGACATCTAGAGTTTTTTCAGGTCCATAATACCATACTATCAGATCATCTTTCTGTTTTTCAACACCTGTGTGTAGCGTGACAGGATCCCCCTCCATCCCCCACACATCTTCTGTCTCAACACCAAACACACCTAGTGAACAAAAACAATGGTTTCCAGGTGTAAGATTACATGATTAACATTGACATGACAGTAATAAAACTATTGTGTTTTTTTTGTGTGTGTGTGTGTGAAAGGATTTATAATGTTTTTACTCACACTATACTCTCCATAATTGTCAAATTATACTAACTACTTTAGCCATCCCTGATCCCACATAATCTTTCAATTATAGGATAAAGACAAACTATGTAAATAAAAACGAGTGTTCAAGGATGTCAGTAGGCTGGGAAACATTTGAGAAAATTAATAGAAAACATACTAGAAGAATATACTATAATTTGTAAAAAAAAAAATAATAATAATAATTCTTTATACAATATAAAAAGGTTTACGGTTCGGTTTATCAATTAGTGAAAAAGAATGACATTAGATGTAGTGCTTGCAGTTTAAAACAACATCTTCATTTTGATCAACTAAAAAAAAAATCTAATCTTATGTTCACTTAAAGAAACTGGCTTTGAAACAGTTTTCACAGAAATGGCTACAGTAGTACATTTCACAAATAATTACAAAGAAACAACAAATAGCAAATTGTATTAAATGCATGATGTTTTTGCAGCTGTAAATGTTTTTGTAAAACTTACTCAAGTGATCTTTCTTTTATTTACAACATCAAAAATCTTTTTTTCCCCCAGTGTAGAACAGTGCGTGTAGGTCACACAGTAAACACTGTTTAATGATAAACAAACATACAGTGCCAACTGCCAACACAGTGCCACACCCTCAGAATAATGGCAGCCTTTTTCTGAGAAAGAGACGTAGTTTTTGAAAGGACCAGAAAACCTGCTCTACTGGTCTCATGTTTGTATTTTAAACTGATAGTACATTTTTAAACGGATAGTTCTTTCATGTGTCATCTTTGACAAACCCTCGGGTCATTCCAAGAATTTCCATCTTCTCTGGAAAAAAAGACAATATTCTAAAGTACGTTTCAACTGTGTTTGTCCATACAATGCAAATCAAGGTCCAATTCAACACACAAAATATTTCTATTCTGCAGAAGAAACACTTTTGGTGAATTTTAAATACATTTATTTCGTTTTCTGAAGCATGTCACAGTGCATATCTGTGAAATGCAGCTTTGTAATTATAAACCATCATGGCTGCAAAAATAGAGAATTCAGAAACTGAATTTCTCTCATTACAAATCATGCGCACACACATTTCAGCTCATGTTTTGAATCCTAGATCACGAGTTAATTTAAATCCACAAACTTACAGATTGATCAGTGCACGCGGTTCTTAAATTGAAAGAAGGGACAAAGCTATAAAATCTAATCTTACCATTTGTGAAGATCAGCAACGATAAATTTAGAAACACAAGGCTTGGAAACATTGAGCTATTCATATTTTCTTTGTTGGACCACCTGTGCAGTCCGAAACTGACGTGGAAGGTTGATTCCTTATAGCTGGATCTTTAGATCTCATTCACACCTGTGTTGATAACAGCAGCTTCTGACCTTGTGAGTGGAAAGACAGGAACAGACTTCTTTTGTCAGGTAGAACGTTAACTGGACAACACCCATTTGGGTTGGGCAATGTCTACCAAATTGGCATCAGGCGATGTCTACAAAGAAACATGGCAATCGTCTATTGGCCCAGTCCTAATTTCAGCGTTAACTGAAAGTGAAAGAATACTGTACAGGTAACATAGGTGCACTCTAACCACTGAAATGTGCCCTGACGAGCTTTCTTCTTAAGTTTCCTTTCTTTATAAATCAGGTGTATAATTTACAAGGAAAGATCATAAGCAAAATTAGACACACGATAGAATAAAAAGATCTTGATCATTATGGGTGGTAATGCTGTACACAACACAACAGAAATAAATGACACTAGGTCTTCAGTTATTAGATTACAAGACTGAAAGAAAGAAGAAAGAGAAACATTGTAGGTGAACAGGGTCTCTAAATTTAGTCCAGGAAATGTTTGCTACAATAAACACTGTTTAAGGGTCTTAAAGGAAACTAAACATTTCAAGAACTGCTTTATAAATTGCAATAAGAGTCAAATGTGGTTCAGACCCAATACATAAATATACATTAATCAGCTTTGTATATGTAAGGAGGAATTATTCTGGAAAACACGGCTAATTCATATTATGGGCCATGGATTTGTGAAGATATAAATAGAATACAAATGTGCCTTATAAGGTGAAATCATTTAAAACTGTATTTAAATGTCATTTCAACTCTGGTGGTCTAAAACTGACTTGTACTGTACATTTAAACCTATACAACCTTACAAATGTAAGAGCAGTGCAGTATCGAATAACATGCCATTGCTCAACAATCATGTGACTGTGATAAGCTGCCAGGACAGAGACGTTATTGTTATAGGGAGTTTTCAACCGCATGTTACAACATATCCTTATTGTTCTATAGTAACCTTTGTACTGGACTTCAACTGAAAAGTCAATGTATGTACATAATAAAAAGTATCAACCACCTATAAAATTGCACCTATGTCAATGTTTAAACCACTTTAATGTGTTTTTGTAACGTTAGATAGCCTATTTTATATACACAAAAAAGAGACGTTTCCATTCCAGTACTTCATTTATTAAGTTTAATTATCATATAGCTTGTAGAAATCATCTTGAATTTATTCCGATGCACAAACACAAATACACGCATGCTTAATTTCACTTACGGTTGGTATCCTGACAGACATTTTGAGTTTGTTCAATAGTTTAGGTCAGACAATTTAGAGTTTTAAATGACCAAGGTTGAAGCTGTGATCTGATTGGTCATATGTGCTCTGGTGGGCGTGGCTACTGTTGCTGCTTTAGTTCAAGACATCAAGATCCAGAGGAGAAAAGACATATATCTTTGTATTTCTTGATGAAGTGAACAGATGAATTGAAAGTTCTTTCAGAAAAGCGCAAAAGTGACTTTTTTTTTTTTTGGACATAAATATGAAGGCACTCTGACCAGCTTAGTTTGTGAGTCAAACAGAAACCTGTTGTGGTCTGAACTTTATTTGGGTCAGTGTAGCACAAGCTGAACTAGATGAATGTGGTTTATTCTGTAGGATGAACAAATAGTACTTGTTCCTGATAGTGTGTCTATTAATAGTGTCTATTAATAGTGTCTATAGACTCATGATAAATATTTGTCACAATCACTCACAGAATTAAACATTGATTAGATTAATCTCCAGCATCAGTGCGTCTGATCTCAGTATCAGTCTCTCTTTACCTCTGGAGGTGGAACATCAGGATAAAAACACCTACAGCTGTGTGCTGAACAACAACATCAGCAACCAGACCAAACATCTGGACATCAGCCAACTCTGTCACCCTTGTTATGATATTAGCTTTAGCTGCCTACTTTTTGTAAATTAAAACAAAAAACAAAACAAAAACCTGTACTTTGGTTAGTTGATATTCAAATATCAAAAATATTTCTGAACCCATACAACCCATAAATATAACTTGTAGGTTTTTTGTTTTGTTTTGTTTGTTTGACAGTTTTAACTCAATATTTCATTAGTTATTTATCTTATAATTTATGTTTTATTTACCAATTGATGATTAATTTCATTAAACGGTTATTACATTTCTTTTTGTAATTTAGATTTTGTTCCCATTCAGACTATTTCTCTTGTGTTTGGTCTGATCAGTGTTGTTCTGGTCATTGGGATGATTGGTGAGTTGCAATTAAATGTAGCATGACTCCATATGTAAAACATAAGCACTTTGTAAAAAATATCATAATGTTCTTTTCCCATAAGTAGTTTTTAATATTATTAATGCATTCTTATAGGCCTATTAAAGGTACTTACTTATGGAAGTTAGAAACACCCACAGCAACCTGAAGATACAGACCTACAGCAGCTTCTAATGATTCTCGAACAACCTGAAGACTCAACACAAGCACTGATACATGTGCAAGTGTGATTAATATGAGCTATTCATTTCCATAAAGCTGATATGTTCCAGTACAATGACATTAGACATTTGGTGAACATTTACATATTTGGTAAAAGATTTACAGCCAGCAGAACCATAGGCCTATATTGTGTAAGATATAGTAAATTATATAAATTATAGTAAATCATTTACTATATCATAGAAAATGACTGGAATTCATTGTTTTACATATATTTTAGATTTAACATACTTAATATCTTAAGTTGTGTCATATTATGCTTAAAGGGGTCATAGGATGCTACATGCACTTTTACAAGCTGTCTGAACTGAAATGTGTGTTGGCAGTGTGTGTACATAACCACCCTATAATGATACAAATCCACCCAGTGTTTTTTTTTTAATCTGGTTAAATGTTTTCCCCTTTCTCAAATCGAGCCGATCTCAGATGTGACG